GAACCGCGTAACCCATTTCAAATGTTTCGTGTAATTTTTGTTTACAACCCTGAAGAATTCAGTTCATAGCCCGTCGATAGGCCGAATTGTTGAGCACGGCGTTATGTTTAGGTTTGTGGATCGGCCCGCATTACTTCGTACTGGTGACTTTGCTTCACTTCGACGTTTCGAAGCAGCTTCACTTTGAATTAACACTAATTAATCGCCTAATTTGATTCACCATTTTGATGACCAATTTGAGATTCGTATTCTCTGCGACATCGTCGGCTAACGGCGTAACGGTAAACAAAAAAATTAAAGTGCAGTTATGGCGAACTTCTTGGGTTTTTTTTCATTCCCTTTGAATTATATCAATTTCAAATCACCCCGAATAGGTATTCTTTAACTAAATAACATCGAAATCAAGCAGAAACACAAGATGAGGCGTAACTTGAACTATTGAATCGGATGGTATTGCAGGTAATTCGTCATCGATATCTAGCATACGCAATTCTACAACGCACATCAAATTACTAACATCCGTCGTTGTAGTTAAACGTATAAGAACGACACGGGCAATAGGTTTAGTCTTAAGTAAGGTATGCTTTACTCCAGGCGCCTTATGCTCTTATCAACGATAAGGACCGTTGCAAGCTGAGATCGCTGGTAGATGACTAAAAATTGTTCTCTTTGGTCATTTAGCGGCTGCTTAGTGCACATACCAGTTAAGCATTGAAGCTTCATCGGTAACACCCTGTATATATAATAGGTTTATGATTTTCAAACTTCCATGGTAAAATATCAATAACAAAAGAACGCACAGAAGTCATCCGCTATGAAGAATGACGAGCTTCGGGTGTTAATCGCGCTTCGTCATTCGTACAAACTAACCGGTTTTCCGATTTTTACTGGGCCAATAGTATATCAAATTGATTCAGTGAGGTTCTATTCCAGATATATGCTTTTATAATACGCTGAAGTGCTTCTCATATACAACAATGTATAGAAAATGTTTTTGTGTAGAGTTCATAATAATTGTAAAAATGAAAAGGAAGGCACGCTTTCCTAGAAGAGTTAGGAGGCGTGACCACTAATGTCACGACGTTATAACATCCGAACAATCTTACCCGTACTTGGAGCAATGACAAATTACGAGTATCGCTGAAGTTTTCACCTTCTTGGTGGATATGAGTAATTTATTACTTAGTTAAATAGCTATTTTCACAAGTATATACAACAGTTCTGCAATATTACAATATGTCCATACAACAGCACGGCCAAGGAAATCTGTAACGTGGTTATGTCACATGTATAATCGAAATCTTCAAAGACAATTAACCGAGTGGTAGCTATGGTACCTACCCTCTGTTTTATGGGTAAAATCCATTTGCAAATCCATTACACATTTATCTAACTACGGTTGCTGTATTATCATTATTCAAAAATACATATCTCACTATTACATTTTTGAAGCAATTTTTGTCTCTTGCATGCTGATCCATCCATGCTGGTCTATCGCATTCAGACGCCAGCACCTATTCTCACACATAACATTATATGTACTATATCTTATTTAGAAGAATCACGGATCGTTGATAAGAAACTTCGGTAGAAATTTCGCAAAATTTTAGACTTTTTTCTTTTACTTAATCGTCGCTTTTCAATTTAGAACCAAATATCGTCGTCTTCGTCATCTTCGTGGCCGTCCTCAGCATCATTGTCGCCTTCGGCATCTGCCTGAGGCTCATTGCCCTGACTTCTCCTGGTGTTGGTGCCTTCACGCTCGTCTTCGGCATCCCTCTCTTCTTCGCTTTCGGAGATAACGAGGTCATTATGGATGGCTCCTCCATCAGAGTCTATTACATCATCCTGATTATCCTGTGCCCACGGCTCCTGTCTTGATTCATCTGAAAAACGTGAAAACCAGTGAGAAATATATCTCTATCCCAGTACGTGCCACTGTCACTAATAATTATATCGTTGCTCTCTGTGTAGGTAACTTCTGAATACCAATGGCTCATTTTTCCGCTAACTTTCATTATTATTATTACTATGTAGAAGCGTTGTTAAGCTTCGAAGTAGAAACATATTCACAGTGTACGTGTATTTTGTTTTCCTGTCACATCTAGTGTAGTGTTACTATATTATTACTAACCTCCGGTGTCATACAATGCGTCAGAGGGTTGTTCTCGATGTTGCCTATTAACCGCTTCTTCGTCCTCGTCAAATTCTTCACCTGATTGCTGCGCGGCCTCTTCAACATCTTCATCGTCGCCGGCCTGTTGTTGCTGATCGTCATTAGGACGTTGGCCGTTTGCATTTTGGTTTTGGTTGTTCTGAAACTGGAAGTCACCCTGCAGTAGAAATTCCGAAGGATCGTAATTTTCGTCAATCATCTCTTCATCTTCTTGTTGAGTGCTCGGGTTGTTGTTGGCAGCTTGGAACCCACTTCGCGTCAGTAGCACGCCCCGGTTATCGTCGTCAGAATAGTGTGAGGCATTGTCATCGTGGTCAGAGTGGTCAGGTGAATTGTCCGGCGTCATCTCGAGATCCTGACCGAGATTGTTCTGCTGTTCCTGCTCGCTGCCGTCTGGACCCTCCGGATTGTTTGCCTCTTGTTCTGCCGTGTCCAGCTCATTTGGTTCTGTTTCATGTTCTGTGTCCCCTTCAAAATCTCCCTCCTCCATTCCTTCGGGGTAGTCGTCATCCTGACCCTCGCCTTCCACGTCAACCATTTCTTCTTCGCCTGTTTTTTCACGAACAAACCCGACAAAATTGATAATCGTAATATATATTAGCGTAATTTGTAACTGATGCTTTTGTGCGATACTAAGTCCGATTCTAACGTGGATAAATGCGTTGTTGCGAGTAGTTCGGCTCAGATAAAGGTACGTTTTACAGTAAAGGTTTCACTACGTGAAGTGCACGGATTACACATAACAGATAATGCAATAATTACCTTTGGCAGCATCGCCGTGACGCGATGCGTTTAGCGAATCTGTTTCGGCAGCTTCCAACGTCATGCTGATCGCATTTTCCAGAGCGCTAAGCTGGCCATCTTGTTCATTGAGAATTTCAATACAGCGCTCAACAATTTCCTTGCCCTTGACTGTAAACGGAGAGTCAACACCGTTAAACTGAACAGAGTTTGTGTACATGAGCTCAATGTCTGCCAGGAACTCATGCCTTGAGTGATATTTATGTGCCTTAGCGTTTGCCACAACGGTGTCTAAATCCATCGGTTTTTTGATCACCTCGTAGTAGTCCTTGACAAACTTTTTATTGACAGGCTTGTGGAAGGGCCAAGACTCGGGGATCGTCTTTAGAGAATGCTCGACAATATTCTCCAAAATGTAGCTCAGTGCCACTTGATCATTATCGTCCAACAGAGGATTGATCGCCTTCTCCAGTCGCATGAGTGCTACCTCCTGTGAAGCGCAAATGGCGTTGTACTAAATTAACAACAATATTTTCTACCGTGTATTATTACAGACGCTAAATGATTGATAGTTTAGCTTTTTTTAAACGTAGAGAGAATAGAGCGCGTATAATATGATACGTTGCGTACCTTTTCGGCGAATCTTTTACAGCAAAGTTCGAGCATTCGCTCGGCGGCGTGGGTAAGTGGGCTTTTTGGACCATTATACAACTTGCTATTCTCAACGATCTGGTTAACATCAACGAGGAATTCCTCTCGTGCATGGTAGGCATGGTCATGCAGCTTTTCACGAATCTTTTGAAGATCCATTGGTCGCTGCACGATGTTGTAATAGTCAGGTACAGCCTTGGAGTTAACTGGATGCGCAAAAAGTTGAGTATCGGGCAGATCACGCATCTCATTCAGGATCACTAAGGAAGTGACGAAACAAAAGGATAGATACACACCCAGCGGATTATATACGTTCAATAGAAACGTAAAAACGACACAAATATTTTATTCTATCATTGCAAAATCTAATAACTTGAGGATAATCGATTATCAGGTTCTAATCGAGACTTCCGCAAGAAATGCATCATTGCAAGAGCAAAACATTTTGAATGGTGATAATCATTAAAAAACTTACATTCGAAGGTGGACGACAACGTGACAAGTGGATCGGTCCTACGGCGATTAGCTGACTGAGCGGGTTTGCGTAGATAGTCGCATTGCTGTGTCGTGCTGGTAGTTACACGCGAGCGACGAGCCGGCTTCGGTACTTTTGGAATTTTCAGAACGAGACTCTTGCGGCGTAGCTCATCAGCGTGCTGTATGAGAGTCTTAGACAGGACTACTCGGGTCTCGTCTACCTTGACGAGGTTATCTTCTTGAAGGGCCATAGAGCTATCAGGCTCGTCCTCTTCTTCAATTTCTGGTTCCTCATCTTCTCGAACCTCTTGTGGACTGCCATCTTCGGCAAGCGGGTCCATGTACTTGGGACAAGCCTTATTCGTTCGCATATGGCCGACAAGTCCACAGGCGCCACACTTAAGTTTCAACTGAGGCGCGTCCTTTTTAAACCGCTTTCTAGAAGGTGTTAACGGTGCATTGGGGCCAAGCTTTTCGCGTTCCTGATTTCTTTTCAAGCGACGCAGTTGTTCTTGGATACGTCGCCTCTCCTTGCGCATTTCCTCTTTCTGGCTTTCGTCCAAAGACATTGCAAATTGACGTATGAATTCTTTATCCTTGGTCTCACGGATTCTTACGTACGTATCAATAATTGCCTGCTTTCTCACAGTCTCAATGCGAACATACTCCTTTCCTTTGCTATTTTTAAAAGTTCGGTAAATTTTGAGGATTTTCGGGGTGCCATCTTTTTCATCATCCTTCTTGTCTTTAAGACCCCCTTTTCCTCGTTGTCCGTCATCGCCCATGATGAGTTTTTGCAGTTCACGTCGCTCGGCCTCCTCTTTTTCATGGCTCAACTGACTTGACGTCTTCTTGTTGGCGAGCATATTTTCAATGTTCTTTCCCATTTCTTCAATGTCTTCGTCGCTCTCTTCTTCTCCTGCGCTGCTTTCTTCATCTGTTGATAGAACTTCTTGTGATGACAGAACCCGGTTTTGCAGTTCAAACAGCCGTTGGCATTCTTCCTTATACCTACACAAAATCATCATATATTAAATGTGTGCTTAATATATAATGGACAGATTTTGCACTAGTAAAGTCTTAGAATATTTATTCATGCGATGACACGTGCAAATGAACATACCATTTACATAATTAAAAAAAATCAGTTCCTTCGTCAAAACAGCCTTTAAAATTTAAAGCTTGTCACACTTCTTTTCTCCGCTGCTTTCTGTTTGCCTGATTTTAACTGATTTCGCTTGTTTACACTTTTGTGCGCGATAAAATCTTACTATAGAAAAACAAAAATACACAGGTGCAATAACGAGGATCGTATAAAAAATACGCAGCTTTTGACAGCGTTTCTCAAAACGGGCTCCAGTGCTTTAAAACTAGAGATTCCTATTTGAACCACAAACGACGCTTCAGATAGCAACTAAAAGCGGATGTCGATAAAGTTCAGGTTCTATTGCGTTCAAATTCAATCCAATAATTTTATGAAGTATCTGCCAAGTTACAACTTAGCCCCATTACTGTTACGGAGCATTTTTAGCGCAAAAAGAGATAGTTAAACTTTTAGTAAATCCCAACATAAACAACCAGTAGGAAAGGAGAACAAAGAGCTGTTCCAAATGATTTCGCTATATGACAACATTTGATACCATCAGGATTTAACGACTCGCAATGTGTGGCCTGGAAGATCGGAGATAAAAACACCAAATAGATAATCTGAAAATGGGTCCATTGCCTAATTATTTCAACTGTTACTCAAGTACGGGGCTTGGGTTTCCCAATTTTGGCAACACGCGGGCCAATATTGCAATCAGCTCTCTCGTAGTGGCATAGTAATGACATAGCATTAATGAAATATTTCACTTACTTTTTAACTAAAAAATGAAAATGATATAGAGGCGGTTTTCAATGGATGATGGGTTCTATGAATGAAGCGCTTGAAGGCATTGTCCCAGAAGTATAGTGCCTATTGTACGAAGCCAAACAAGTTACTCACGAAGGTGAAGTTGTTCTTCACAAGGATAAGTTAAAAACTAATAAATCACCTTTTGAATAAGCGTAATATGATTATACGATACGCTTGCAGTAACAGTGCCTAGGAATATATATATATATATATATATATACACGAATAGGATGAAGTGATCATATATATATGAATTCGGATATTTAAACAAAGACCTATGTTTCAGGATTAAGAAAATATCATCTTAAAAATCAACACAGCATCCTAGGGTGAGTGAGTCTTATATTAACACCTGAAGTAGCTTCCTTACCTGTGTGCTTTAAAGTCTTGGTCAATAATTACTCCATAGAATGCATAATACTAACCTTTCCTGGTGTTCTGCAATTGAAAAACGATTTCCTCGAGCGAATTTCCCCATCCCGTCCTCTCCGGCCTTCGCCTGTTCAGTAGACAATGTTCGGACCACATCAATGACTTCCCAACGTGAAAGCTTTTTGATCTCATCTTCAGGCACACCGAATTTACGTAATATACTTTTAGCATTTGAAAGCGACAATCGTCTCAAGTCCGCGTCAGTTCCTGTCACCGTCTTCTTAACAGCCTCTTTGCGCTCTTCATCCTTTGACTGCACCGGTTTATTTGGAATGCGCACATACGAGAAACCTTCACCGCAACCCGTTGGGTCGGCCACACCGGCCAGTTGCAAAAGGCATTTTCCCTTCATGGCTTGAATGAACGCTCTCGTGGAGTTCCACGGTGCTGTCTTTACTTCATCATCGATTTTGTTTTGTAGGTCGTCCTCGTTCTCTTCGTCAGCTGTGAAAAGACTTTTCTCCCCGTAACCAGCGTCCTTCAAGCGCTGCTCGGCAGCCAACATCGAATAATAGCCGCAGCACTGCTCAGGACTGACCATTGCTCGTATTTCATCTTCGGTTGGCAACCGAAAATCGGGTTTGAGAACCCACCAGTTCGAGTCCATACCCGTTCGTTTGAAATCGGCACATTGCTTTAATCGCTTACGGATTGAACTCTCTGAATGATTGGGGAATGCCTTGCGAATATCTTCCATCTTAATACGTCTCGGGTGGTCACGGGATTTCCAAAAGAGCCGATAGATGAACACCTGCATGAACAGAAAGTTTGCGTATCGCATTTTACGTCATCCTAAGGTCTAGAACTAAACACAATATTGGTTTCTTACATTTTTAATACCTTAAACACGGGATGAGGTGCTATGAAGGGCTAATGCTCATCTTTCTTAGTGCGTTGCCAGTGTAACCATGTGCCTGCGGCCATCGCTGGTTCAGGTTTCAGCGTTGGCAGATGGTTACCACGCCATTTCATAGAAAAGTCCAATGAGACCATTAGAAACCATGGGGATCATGGCTTAAAGAAAGAAACACAGTATCCATTTAAAACACATAGTATCCATTGTGGAGCATGTTCCTACAAGGTAATAAGATAGTTACATACCTGTAAAAAGTCCCTGATGAAGTTATTTGCTCTCTTAGAGTTTGGACCAGGAACCTCATAAAGCGGAAGTTCCTGTCCGACTGTAAAAATAGTCTCAACTTCTCGGACGTAGTAATGTTGTCTCGTTCGAATAATAAGAAAATCTGTTTTGGACATTCGATGCTCAAACATCGGAGCTCTGAACAGATTGTTCTCGAATGCGGGCTGACATTGGCCCGGCGCTAACTGACCAAGGAACGGTGAAGTGTGGGCTAAGGCCATCTCCCCGAATGGTAAATCAGGTGCATGATCTTTCCCTGGTTTACGCTTATAGTAGTTTTTTATCTTGCTAGCCATACCAATTTGCATGACCAAAGGTGGATGCTCCTCACTGTATTCGGTTAGCACCAATTCACCATCTTTGCCAGATAAATCCTCGGGCGTTCGCATGAAGAACATTTCACCGCCGCCACTGGCTTGGCGCTCGGCGTCGCGTTCCTTTTGTTTCCGTCGAATATTTTTAAGCAATGAAATAACGCCGTGTGGGCCAGGCAACGCCAAAGGTCCATGGGAAAAGCGTTTGAGCGCCGGCCGATGGATACTGCGCAACTTGAGTGGCCCCATGTGAGTCGGAAAGAACGGCTGCCGCAGCTCGATAGCAGGTATTGAGTGTTGAATGAGATTGCCGCCTACATTCGGTTTAAGAGCTGAATCTTGTGCTTGGCGCGGGTTGTAAAATTCATCGTTTGAAATATTGTATGGATCCTGTAGAAAACAACAACAGAATATTGTGTAACAATTAACTCAGAAAAGTTGAGAGGTTCACGTACGCTTAATTACAACGTTTGTATATTACACAACAACTTATTTAATGCGTAGTAAAATTGCGCGTATATATGTATCTCATATGGTACAGCTAAGCTAATGAAACAAGGCTTTTAATTGACGCGGAAATACATTACACTAAAACAATGTTGCGAGTCGTAAGTTTCGTACCGCCGGCCAGCATTGCTTCAGACAACCGACCTCAAACACGAAACAAAGCATGTCTACCTCCAGTTTCAAGCCTAGACCCACCTGATCACCATGAATTTACTAGAACAAACGAAAAAAACATCCACGCTTGCCTTTTGATCTTGTTCCTTTGGAGGCTGTGGACTCTGGGGTTCAGGTTCGGCTATTACACCAGCTTTACCCAGAAGAATTCTAGATTTCCTCAGTGGGTCCTTGTTAGGATTCTTCTTTTCTTTTATTTGTGTTTGCGGCTCACGCATCTTCGCCGGGTCAGGATCGTCAGGCACGCCAAGTATAATATTCTCATCGTTCGGGTCAAGCGTAAGCATCTGAGGTGCTGGAACCTTAATCATAGCCTGTGCATCCCAAATTACCTCTTCTTCCCAGGGTGAATAGACCAACTCTTCGTTCTCTACTGGAAAAATCGAATACCACGTTGTATCTTCACCAGTATTTGGTTTGACGCCCTTCGCTGCAGCAGCTTTTTGCAATGCTGATTGGGCAATCTGGTGCGATTTCTGGTTTGCAGCTGAGAAATGGCCATTTTTCTCTGGCTGTAGTGGGGTTAAAGTGGGCATTGGGGGCGGCTTTTGCTGTGAAAACGTACGATTTTGGATTGAAGGCACCCAACCTGCAGCATGAACTCCACCTTTGCCTGTGGTGTTTACTTTATGCTTATGCTGAAAACAAGAATGTTAATAAATTGATGTGAAATACCCGCCGGGTGCTCAGTTTCAGATTAGATCATTACCACATTTTCATAAAAACATAAACAATGCTTCAATCATTCGCTTAACTTCAACATCTGCAAAAATACACAATCTATATGGTCAAAGGCCAACATTCATCGCTTATAGTCATCATTTGCCCAAGACCGGAAAGTAAAATGAAGTCAATATATGACTTTATTCTATTTTTCCTGGAAAACATTTTCCTTCACTCGAATTCCAAAGCAATATACTATAGCACCCTTCACTTTCACTTACATCATCAGCATTCCAGATGATGTCGTCTTCCCATGGTAGCTGCGTCACCATTAGGAAAGCATCTTCTGGGATGTCACTATGCTCTTCAGAAGGTTCGAACTGCTTTAAATGCGGGTACTTATCCATATTTTTGTTCTCCTCTTCAGGAATTAGTTTAAAGCCATAATCAAGGGTATCTCCCGTTTCGCCTATCCCAAACATATCGTACCTGTCAAAGGCCAAAATAGTTTTAGCATGAAACGTCTATTGTTCTGTTGTGCATACTTTGCACCATCCGTTATTTTGTGCTTCCACTCACATTTATCACCAAACATGGAAGATACCATTAACTTTACCCACCACAACTGCGCAGGTCCGAAGCGAAAATCGGCGACTACGGGCTGTCCAGAATCTTGAGTTGTTCTCTCCTCGTCTTCTTTGACCTTTTCGCGCTTTTCCTCATCCTCGTCTTTTGCATCGAAATCCACCGCTTCCGAGGGTTCCAACATTTCCAGAGGCACATTATCGCTGTCCAGTATATCAAGCACCACCTCACGCTCCTCCTGGTTGATAGAGGCATCTAGGGAAAATTATGATCATTATGAAAATAAAAAACCTTAATTATATGACATGCTCTATGATACACTATATTCAATATGATATTACAGAGTTGCAACAGATTTCACTTGAACTGCCTTTCCCGAATTTTGATTTGGCTACGGTTACTTATAATTATTTGAATAATTAAATTTATTTTCTTTATAAAGGATCAAGCGTTTTAATCTCTATACGACAACAAACGGTCCATTGCCAAATTCAGAATGCAAAATGGTTTTTAATCTTATTGTTTGGTCACTAAAAAAAAATACTGCCTCTTGTAGCTTTTCTAATTTAGTTTAAATACGTAGATTTGTTTCTCTATTTTAGAAATGCTTTATTTCTCTAATAGCTTTTTTGTAATCTAATAACTATATTTTTTCTAATACCATGTTAACCATTTTATATATATATATATATATATATATTACGACTGACATAATATATTTTAAAAATAAAAAAAAAATTTAGAGCAAGGAATTTTTATGACGGTAAAACCCTAATTTTACCACTATATTCTAGAAGTAACTTAGTTGTTTTTTAGGTTGTCTCCTAAGCTAAATATTTATTTATAATCCACAACTGAGCTTTCTAAAATTATCAAGAAAAATTATTGATATAGTTATTCCATTTCTATACTTATTAATTATATACGTGTCTATTCATACACATTGTCCACTTGCACTGAATATGTGTTCTGAGAAATGTATTTTTAGTGAGATACGCGCCACCGTCGACAACTTTTTAAAGGGGATAAGTGCTATTATAATGAACATAATGCAATGAGGACAACGAAACTCACTAAATATAGTCGACAGTCTTACAAGTGGCCTACTGCGATTACGGCAAAAGTGCTCTGAATTAGACTAATTTGTGGATAAATAGTGTTCTGTGTATCTATTAGCAATCGCTTCGTTCTATGCTAAAGGAAGTTAGAAACAGAAGGTAGAAACAGGCGCCTCGATCTGTGTTAGTGCCTTTTTACTGCTATATAACAGTTGCTATACCAAAATGAGTGCGCTCATGTGTGAAATCAAACAGTCGCAAGCTAGAGCATGGATATCTATTAGTTAGGCAAATAAAAATTCAGTTTCTCGAAGTACAGCAACATAATCATAGGTAAAAACTGATGTGTAGAAATTCATTACGATTGGAGGGCTGTTCAAGGTAGGTTATGGACTGAATCTCAACATACAGTCGAGTTCAATATACGACAAAGAATATTTTCTACCTTTTAATAACCATCGAACGTGCTGTTTTATACCTATGTGGTGCTACATGTTAATTTCTAAAATGCATCGATTTCGGTTTCCTGAAGTATGGCCCACATATTCATAAAGTGTTCATGCTTTCTTAAAATAAAGATTCACTCTGTCCACGTACTAAGAAGCACATAGGATCCGTCGTGCATAGCTGATTTGTTAATCGCTTGAAGGTAGCGAATTATGGGTCCTGAAGTAATGCTATATTGAAGCTTCGGTAGGTAATGTAGAGACAGTTTGTTTTAATTGCTTAATTATACCAAGCAAAATGTATATTCTGTTTCCAAATGCGCTCACCTTCGTGCTTTCTTTTCTTGCGTCGTCGACGCACGCCTCTCCAAATCTGTGGAAGGCTATTAACTTTACCGGGGCCAAAGAGACGCGAAAATCGTAACACTTTACCAGGACGGAAGTGTGGGAATAAGCGGGTTACATCAGCATGACGATATTTTTCAGGCAGCATACGAGCCAAAGGAGTATTAATCATCGCATCGTTTACACTTTTGTCATGATTCTCAATGTCATCGGTGTGATTGTTGTCACTGGCTTTGGCGTTGGCGTCGTCGGCGTTTGCAGGTGGCTCCCCCGCACTTTCGTACTTATTACTGATTTCCAGCTTCGGTTCTTCTGGCGTCATTTTCTTTTCCTTATCATCCTTTTCCTTCTCCTACAACAGAACAAGCATGAATAAAGACTAATTTTTATTCATTCTGACAGTTGTATGTTACTCTAGACGAACTTGTTGTTTTAAGGTGAATTCTATCAATACGTTTATAATAACTTAGAGAACTCAATAAATCATTGATGTTGACTTATTAGATGGCACTAAGAAGTACGAGAATGCGTAAACGAATTTTTTGGATCACAAAATTTGTGATGTTCATTAACCCTGTACAACCGTCTAATAATGGGGTCAGCGTATAACTGACAAATCGCAGATGTCACTATCCTTTCAATCGGTTAGCAGCGGTTACTACTCTGTCGGTAAAAACTAAAGTAGCTTTATATGCCTCCCATTATACTTGAAAAAATACTTATTTTCGAATACCACGAGTGTCATTAAGTTCTTGCTATGTACCCTGAACACTTCAGGTTATCGCGGGTGAGTTCATGTACCTGACTAACTGAGGGCCCAATAATTGTTTCGCATTTTTGGTTTACTTTTTATCCTTTAGGCGTGTGCATTTACCATCTTATAGAAAATGTGAATAAGCTAATATATTTCTCGGAAAAGCAGTGCTACCCTGGCAAAGTGCTCCGAAGCCTCCTACATGAATAGCCGTTACAAAACTACATAATCGAATTTTGTATGGTAAGTCAACCTGGAGCAACCTGGATAGTGTGTTACCGGAAGAAACTGTCTCTCCATACTTACGTTGGAGCGAAAACAATAACCAGTCTTAACCTGTCAATAGTATATTACTTCCATATGAGTATATTGTTTACCTATATTGTACGGTTTTCTCGATAGGACGGCGCCGTCCCCAATATAGGTTATGATTGAGGAGTCGTCTCTATGTCTCAGTTATCGTAATAATAGACATCCAATATTATTATTTTCAGGAACGACGACGTATGTACGTAGAGAAAGAATGCTCCATAGATAAACATACATAAGCAAAATAACTAAGAACCTTAATATTCGATGTAAAAATGCAGCATCTACACACAGTATTTATAGATGCATTCTATTCGTAGATAAATGAGCCAACCTTACAACGTTAAAGCATTATGCAACATTTGGCACCTTTATTTGGCAACATTTGGCACGAAAATGGTTAAACAGCCCCCCTGAATTTCTGCAGCCCTCACTACAGCTCACTACAATGATGACCGAAAAGAACTTTGGCATTCACTTTTAATGGAAGCATCGATCGATGATCAATTGTCACGACACAAGATGTTTACGTACGAAGCGAAATCGAATTGTCGTGACAGATTTCTTTGGTGTTCATTCACATTAAATAGAGTAAACTTATTAAAACTGATTTATTTGATACAAAAAATATGTCACTCCACACTAGTGTATAATCTACGTTTCTCTTTATGTCTCTCTTGCTTGATATAGGATTGTTGCATTGAACCTGCGCCCTCAATGGTCCGCCTGCTTTTCTGAGTCAAATGGTTTGATGCTATCAAAAGCTTCCTCGCAGCTTGCCTTGCCTAACATGGTGATACTATTTGTGTTATCTACTTGTGTTTTGTTTCTTTCGCTTCCTTTTTCTTCCTATCTGTTTTTCATGGTGGTCGGGCTGGGGTGGCCTTGTGCCTCTTTTTTGTAGTAGAGCCCCTCGGTCGTCCCCTTTTCGGTCTAACGCAGAAGATTAACACGTGCAGAGTGCCCGCACGATCCTCGTCCGAGTGACAACACCTGTGTGTCTGTATACGGCCGACTAGTCATCACTTGTGAAATCCGAAGATCATCGTCAACATTTATAATGCTTGAGATAATGAAAATACATCAAAAAATTATTACCTCCAATAATGGAGCTGTTACCGGCGATGAATCTGGCGCTTGTCCGGTCCCAGCGCCAGTTCCATTCCGTTGGCCGCCGCCCTCAAACGCCTCACCACGATGGGCCTTCGGAATACGCGATTTGTCGTCGGCCTCAAGCTGTTCGTCCGCCAACTCCGTTTCGTCCGAATAGTCAACCGCCGCAGCAGACTTTTCTCCTGGAAGTGGACGATAAACGAAGCAGTCAGCAAAAGACGACCACGACGACCTTAGCTGCCGAAGTTGCTATAGCAAATCATCGGATAGAAAAGTGCAAGGGGTGCAACCATTCAGCATAGTAGATATAATAAATAGTGGACCGATTATTACGGTGAAAAGAACTACTATAGTAATGATTTGTACGACTACGGCGTCAAACTATATGGCATGTTTTAGCCCACTGGTGTGTACCTTAGCAAGCCAGTATTTAATTTCGTATTTCACCTTGTGTGTAGTCGACCTCAGTTTCTTCCTGGCATTCCTCGGCCAGCTCACGGACAAGACCTCCAACCCCCATCTGAGTTAGCTGGTGGAGGCTCCGTCGAGCCTGATCGTCGAAAATATCATCTTCAAGGGCGCCCTCCGCATTAACATTTCCGAACAACAAGTTAGTCAAGACGCCCGTGGAATCACCGGGATAACAGCCATTGCGTTCGACCATCTCCTCATCTTCGTCTGACGACATCGTTCTGTATCTCGTGCTTGAACCTCCGCACTTCTGTAACTCAAGAAGTAATTTTCAACATTTAAAATTTAAAACTAAGGCCCATACGAAAAGGAACTTATTGAATAGCCATCTCGTATTCAGATATTATAGTCAAGGATTATCTAATCTCGCTCCCTTCGGCCAGCCCGTGACTTCAGTTGTCCTATTTGACGTCAAGATCATGTGCGTGCAAGCATTACCGATACGAGCATCTCTATAAAAAGGTAGTCACTGGTTTTCAGTAGTTTGAGCTATATTGCCATGTATTACTTAGAGCCTGCATGTTTCCGAACTGTAATTCACATGAAAGGCGTACTTGAATTGAAGGCAGCTTCAGGCAGAAACTGATACTAGACAACAGCACATACGTAGGGTCATACGATGGTAACAAATCAATGTTTTATTCTTTCAGCTGTTGGTTGAAAACTGAAAAACTTGTATACTTTCACAGCGACACTGATTAAATACGCACTGTTTTATATAGGTAGTAATATAT